GTTTATCGTATCACACTTTGCAATACATTAATTCATCAATTGTCAAATCAAGTTATTCATATTAAGGTGGAATCAATTAATCTTCTGAAAAATAGTAATCACGGTGAAAGTTGTTTATTTCTGAATATTGGGAAACACAGTACATATTGTTGTGGCGCTTTCCAGTTGTATTTTGGCTAACCAAAGACACTTGGACAACAGTGTACTGGGACAAATGTGATTGGAAGAATTGACTTTTAGACAAATCTATTCAGACAGATGTGAATTGAGATGAATTAACTGTGAATCAGCCACAAGACTGTGTGACATACATTAAGATCCTACGATGCTCATCTTAAGTAATTACTCGGCCATACATGACTGATTTCAAAAATCCTAGATTTTGTTTGCTTTTTTTTTATCAAGAAAGTGGCCACAATTCAGCCATCTTGAATCAAATCATAAAACAAATGCACATGTATCCCCAATTTAGTATATTATTTTTTTTATATTTTTGAGCAGTGTTGGAAACTAAACACTGTTAAGTGCCCACTTGAAATATACATATCATTTTATTTCTGTTTTTCATTCTGGTACAGTGCAGCAAATATACATATCATTTTATTTCCCTTTTTCATTCAGGTACAGTGCAGCCAGTGTTATGAATGTGACTCTTAGCTGTGACCACCGAGTTGTAGATGGAGCTGTTGGAGCACAGTGGTTGCAACATTTCAAAAAGTTTTTAGAGAAACCTTACACTATGCTGCTGTAGTAAAAACTATTTTAATAAAAAAAAAAAACAGGAAGATTTTTTTTTGTACATACACTTCATTGCTTGATTTTCATCACAATTTAATTTTTAAAAAGCATGTCTGGGTTTCTGAAACCGCCATTTACACACTTGTCATTGGTAGAGATGTTCATGTGTATCATGCTTTAACCGAACAATTGACTTGGCCATTTTTTGTTATTGTTCTATTGTTCATTATGTAACAAGAAGACTGATTATGGCTTTGCTAGCTTGTTTTGAACAACAGTTATCAAAATTCGGATCAAGATTACCACTGGAGTGGGTGGGTCATATTCAACTGAAATACAACTTACTGGAAATGAAATAATTGAAATAACTGGCAGTAGAGACAGTTTAGCTTTGCACATCAGCTCATATTGGTCAAATCAGTTTATGCCTCATCTTTGGTCTGAAGTGACCACTTACACAAGTTTATTGGAACACCTTCACTGTGTTTTGGTAGTTATACAATGACAATTAGTCATCACCTGGTTGTGTCTTCCACGTGCCATACCTAAAACCTGACTTGTAATAAGTTGTCTATAGCGAACTAGCAGCTGAATATCCTTGTATTTTATTGGTTTAATTTACAATCTAGATATTTATGGCTTGCTGCTTAATTTTGTTTGACATTGTTGAGTTTGTTTTCACTGTCGGCGTGTAGATGACTTTTGATGTATATAGTAACTTGTTTAGTTGATAATTGATTAATTACGGAGTGTGGTAATGTCAATAAAATAAGTGCTAATTTGTGAAATTTGATTTTTGCTTTGTTTTGTTTTTTCAGTATTCATGTACCAGTCATTTCAAAACCTCTAGTTTGGTTTCAGTCATTTCTTAACAATGTCTGTTTTCTACATTTATCTAAATCCTGTGCGATAACTTTTAGATCGATAATCGTATTACTTACTTTGTATAAAAATAATTCCTTTCCACTGCAACATACCTGAAACCAATTTCTTTCGAAGGCAGTACTAGCAATCGCAATGATAATGCTGTTTAATCCTAATATGACCCCCCTCCCCCACCAGGAGAACTTTTTCGCTACAGGTTTATTAATTTATGTCCGGCACTTCAGTGTGCTTAATTAAAACTTGATGCCACAGTAGGCTATATTCACTTCTTTAGAAAGTCTATACCATCAATTCATTACATCTGCACATCCATTGCCATTGCACTTTCAAAATGTGTCTAGTAACCATTGTACGGCTCAATACATTCAATTGAGGGCAATCAAGACAGAATGAGCATTTTCAGTCACTGACAAAAATGTGGGGGTTTTGTATGGAGTTTATTTTCACTGATTTTAGATGAGTTGAATGTAAAATGTGGGAAAAAAAACGTATATTCGCAGGGTTTTATTTACCATGTATCGCCGCCCGTCCACCCCCGCAGCAAAAATACCGAAAATAAATTCCAAGCAAAAATAAAGTATTTTACAATAGTTAATTTGCAGGATTCTCTACTCGTCAGAGAGACAGGAATTCAGTAATATTGATGATGCTTGTGATTATTTTAGGGGAGGCGAGGTCTGCAATCCCTGCTTGCCTTGTCAATGAGTTTTGAATATACCAGTACAGTATAAAAACATAAAATCAATGTACATGTATACCCATTATTGGCATATTGTAACACGATTTTATAACTCAAAAGGGTGTGGCATGTATCCAAATTTCTTTATAATTACCCCCGGTAAGTAGCACTTTTAAAACAAAATATTTCGATAGAATTGTCACTCTATTTAAGGTGGGCCGCAATGCCTGTGAACTACCTTAAAATATACATGCCAAAAGGTTACATTTTTTAATACTACACTACCAAAAATTAAGTTTCACATTCTTCAAAACAACTATTTGTAAGAAATTGTTTTAGCTATTGAAATTTGAAAATGTGATGAGGATCTGGTTATTATTTATGAATTTGATTTCTGGCTATAATATAAAGATGCTGTTGGTATCCCTCGTCACATCAAGACTATACCGGTAATATATATATATATTTATATAGAAACTGGTAGGCGGTCATGATAGGTGCTGAAGGCATGTGGCCAGATCTGTAGCGTGAATGCACTATCCTTTCATTGAGAAAAAATGATTTGGTTATATTCAACAAATAACAACGACCACCTTTTTATATATCATATTTATCAGTACAAGCAAAGACACTCTTCTCTAGTGTCTTTGGTTCAAGCAGCTTTCACTAATTTTAAAGGGCGACAGTCGTCGTGCCGCGTCTGTTCGATATGGGACTCATAGCGACGTATACAACGCGTGTAAAATACATTGTTTATTTACATGAAATTCGAACACGCGCTGCGCGACGACTACCGCGCTTTAATCTTTTGTTTAATTCTCTGTGATTGGAAACAATCAATCTAATTTGTGAAACCTGGTACCCATGTGTGCCAGTTTTGATGTATTATCAAATAGAACTTCACAAAAAATAAAAAGGTGGGTGTATAAAACTATTATACATTGTCACTAGAAAATAGGTGATTTGCCGTACACTGCGAGATCTCGTGAATTGTGTGAAGGGCACAGAGCGAATGTTTGCCGCAAAAATTGAATGATTGATTTTGGACTTGAATTTCTTTTATAACAGCTCAACGTGGAAATTCCGATCTTTCAGCGGGGAATCTGGCATTGAGATATCCTTACTTCATCAAATCTGACCATCATCAAATGTGTTTAGCACATTTTTAAACCACAGTCCCTCTATCACTATCACTAGAGGGACTGTGTTTAAACGTTAGAATACCCCTAAATACTTTCGCGTTTGTCGAAATCCACGCGATGTCTCGAAATCGTTTAATCATTGTTTGTCCCGTTTTTACGTTCGATTTCACAAATAAAAGCGGGACATCATAGTGACATCATAGAGTCGTGTATTTGTCACACATATACATATTGTTCGCAAGATACCAATTTTGAATTAAGTTTTTCTTTTGTGTACGTATTTTGAATTAAGTTTTTCTTTTGTGTACGTGGCAATATGTAAATTACAAGCAGGATTTGTATCGACCATAATACTTTCTATTCATTTCAAGTCTGTCTTTCTGTATCTTCATGTAAACTTCATTGAAACTGGATAACTTGTCCAATGTTCATTTCTATTGTCGTCATGACAACTAAAACCCAATAAAATATTTCTGTGAATAATCTTCATAAATTCACAAATTGGTGAATTTTGATCAACATTACCACTTTGACACCCCAAATGTGGGTGCCTTTCTTCTCACAAAAATGCCTTCAACAGTTTAAACACCTACTATTTCAGTGTTTGGATGATCTACTAGTTGTAATCTAGTCATAATTGCCTGATTAGCAATATTGTAGTTTTACTTGAGCATAACCTAGTGTGCATATACTTTATTCAATAATACAAAACACACTCTGATGGCTGTTTTAAACGCTTACAAGCAGGAATATAGATCATTGGGTTAGTCATTAACAGTTCAAGTTAGTCGTTAACAGCCTGCCTCATACTGTAGTACACGGCCTGAGACTTGAGTCACGGTGTAGGCTCACTAATTACCCGCTAGGGGAATCCCCAGTGTCGCAGTTTAAATGCTTATTGGTAAGCAGCGCTGTAGAGTTACAATCCGCTCTCTAAAATGTAGCCCATGATTGCCCATGATTGCCCACTTATCGGACATATTAAGGCAAACAAATAACATTCTTACATCGACTATTTACAGTGTCATCGAAGAGGATCTTGGTAATTCAGGTGGGTATACACCCATTCTGTATATCGAAATGACATCGATTTAGTTTACCGTGATATTACTATGATGGCGAATTGTTGTTCACGAAGGAGGTGCTAATTTGTACTATACGTATACTGTTATAAGCCCGCACTTGAAGGGCGGTAGTCGTCGCGCCGCGTTCTGTTCGATATGGGACGCGACGACCACAGCGCTTTAAACATGCGAATTGATTTGCACACTCTCTGATGTGCTAGCATTTAAAACATTGATTTTATAATACATACGCCATTATACGTGATATATTTACCGTGTCTGTGTGTGTACGCAGTCAACGGTAATTGCCAGCTTTGTGTGGTCTTACTGAATGCATTAAAGTATTATCATTGTTCTTTATCATTTTAAAGACATGGCTACATTCGTTTACCGTCAATAAAGATAACTAAAATGGCGTACTGCGTAACGCGTACACTTGTTTGTAAACACTGCAGTGACTGTATACTTTGGCATTTATCCAAAAACGATTATGTTGCCGCTTACTGTCACAATTATTTAAAAGCGGGAGGATCGTCACCTGGTTACGTGCGGGAATTGAGTCCCAATCGACGATAACAACGCATGCGCAAATTACATTGCCTTTCACTGCATTTTTTTTCGTTGTTACGTAACGTCATTGAGATACTAAACTACGACGTTATTTGAGCAAAATGGTGATGATTTTATTTTGTGATTCAAAACAAATAACATTCATGAAAACAACGCCACCACTTGAAGTTTAATGTTTATACAAAAACCCGTTTGCTCGGCCTACATTTTTGACAATCCGAGTTCATGAAGTCTGTCTATCGTCAATAACACATTTTTAGAATTTCTCGATTAAAAATCACCGCAACCACTTGTAGGCCATTGTAGGATATGACGTAAATCTGAAATCCTGTGATAATACATGCATTGTAAAACGCGACACTATACGAATGTTCACCCCAGCAGAGGTGGACATACAGTTTTAGCGACCCGAAGAGCTCATTGTCAACCGAGGCGAGGCGATATAATCTTGTGATAATACATGCATTATAAAGCGCGACATTATGGGATTGAACTAACCTGTAATTTGTATAATTGTAACATTATCGGAGGCAATTATGGTTCCGTTATTAAACGCGAAAAGCGTCGCGGTACTGATTTCTTACCGGAGTTTCCCGGGCCCCATGACCACGAAATATAATTTCGAAAAAAATCGTGTTACTTTCGGAGAATTTCTACGTCATGGTGTCAACGCTTTCCTACCTTGTGTTATTATATGAGTGGTAGGCGAATGTACCGGCGACTGAGTAACTATGCCGACCCTATTTTAGGTCATTATTTATTATCAATGAAACGTTCCGAGCGCCTGTGCCCATGGCACCACAGTTAATGTACTCGACTTGACTCGACTTTGACGGTTAGTTTTATTAGAGATATTTTATGAATTATGTCATTGATTAGTTATTGATACTTTGTTTCAGTTAATATTGAAGTGAATTACTTGATGTCGCAAACATGTCGGATTTTCCAGAAACAGGTTAACTTGACTTTATATATTTACATGGTCGCGAGAGTTGCTCCCTCTGGCGACGGACAGCTGTGTTCGGCATTTTGTCGTCGCAGGAGGGCGCAATTCAAATGTGTTTGTGTATCGAGCCCATTATAACGTTACCATGAAATAATTTCAAATTCTGATTCTGATAACTTTTTGACATAAATTATGTGCATATTAATTAGCTTAATTATAAAAAAAATATTATATACATGTTTATTGTACTAACCTATGTTGAACCAGTTGTTGGGGCAAGATGGAACTTAGTATTCGGACAGTATATCATTTGTTTTTGCATAATTTATGTGCATATTAATTGAGCATTCTAGACATATTCGTGCAAGTGGACTTATACTCAATATAATTATAATTACGAAAAAAAAATAGATATGAATAATGAATAATTTCGTGCAACGTAATGTTTAATGTGCTACATCACGCATTTATTTCAATTATTTCTGTACTCCTTTCCAGGGTCAGT